CAGACTGCATACAGCACTCAAACTTTATTCCTTGAAACGAAGATGAGAGAAATACCACAAAGTATTCATGTAAAAATAATGGAAGGTCAAGTTCCAAACATTCACAATACAATTACAGCATATTCTAAGGATAGACATGGTGGAATTTCAAAATACACCCAGTGTAAAGTCAATGTGACTGTTACGAACCTGGGTTCCTCAGTGGAACCAGAGGTCAAAATTGAGCTAAATAAACTACCTTATAGTATTGGATGCATGGCGAGGTGCATTTGTTTGTATCTTCCCTGCCAGACGTAAGACTATTCTTGTTTCTCAAAGAGCATTTAAAGACTGAGCTTGGGGTTGATTATTAAGTAATAAAATAGGCACCAACAATGTTTACTAATACTTTCTAATCCTTTGTAAAGTAAATCTGAGTAAACTTGGGATAGGAATGCTTTACGATTAGTTGAGTAGTCTGCTGGCAGCGAGTGAACTGAGGGAGGAGAGTGGAGATGCTCTCTCTTCTCTGAGCTGGCGTTGTGGTGAAAAGAACTTCCTCCTCTGCCTCTTGTCTCTCTATTTCTGTGTTTAACTACCGAGTTAAGTATACTGTATTGTGTCCTCATTGTCTGGCATAGGCGTGTTCTAATGTGTAGAATATTATACTTTGTATGAATTAGGTGTTCCTAGTGTTTACAGCCCTAGTTATTCTAAGGGAGTCCCAGTGGAACCACGTGGCCTCCCTACCCTAACCTGACTCAAGCTTCAAGTTCTTCACTAGTAGTACTTTACCCTACCTTGTTCTCAGTGTAAACCTTGTATCCTGCTTATGTGGACCAAAGCTTTTAACGTAAGATAGTGTGGTAAAGTAATTATTATTATTGTTATTGGTGTGAATGTATATGGGGGTTGTTAAGGGGTTAATAAATAAGTAAGTTAGTTAAAGGAGTATCCATTCTTCCTGTGTAGGAGATCTATGATACACCTCTAGACTGACATTGTGTAGCCAATTAATATTCACTGTGGATGTTTTACTTGGGGGCCGGGCCTTTTAGATCTCCCATATTTGATAACTCTTAATGCTAACTACTGCCCCTACATCCATGTTATACTAGATCCCCCCTAGTACAGACTTCCGTTTTTAACAGTGACATAAAGATAATGAGAGAAGAATATAAACACTAACGGCCCTCAACTCATCAATATACTGCCCCTCCCCCCCACCCCCCAGAAAAAGAAAGTTGGTGGAATGAAATTTCGTTCCCCGTTACAGTCCTCTGTTTGGCTTATCCATAAGCAATTCGTTCCCTGCTAATCCTGGGGATACAATCATTAATCTTCCCCAATACAGTGGATCTTTTAAAAGAAAAGAAGAGTTTCTGCTGGAGTAACCAGACCAGTCGGACTGTCATGGCTATGTGCGCTTTCAGGCTACGAGAACAGTCTCACAGACCTGGACCTAGATTCAGGAAGCTCTGTGTATTTCTTCGTAAGTGGGTTTGCTACGAAGGTTCCTAAGTGTGCCCTAAGAAGATGCTTAGGTACAATTCAATAACGTCCACTTAGGAAGAAAATTGTTGGTTCACCTGCGTGCCAATAGAGGTCACTACTGTGTTTCGTTTGGCCAATCAGAGAGCAGCAACATTCTTCATATTGAAGATTTAGCGCTGGCTTATCGGAGCTCTACTGCCTCCTATTTACGTCGAATTTTCTTATAAAATTAGTATATTTCTAAGTAAAACAATGTTTTTTCAACTTCTACAGCCAGCACCGACATTGTAGTAAACAAATATGTTACATTTGTTGTTTACCTACGTAATTCTAAGAGATACTGTGTAGCTGTCCTTGTTGCTCGGAAGATGCGCTGACAATTATTGTATATATTTACTGAATTTACCCAAGGGCCACTAACTATCTAGTGGCCTCGACGAGGACAGAAAACCGGCGGTTTGTTAAAGGGTCCGCCAATTGTCTTAATGATATTTTTTAGTTGGAATTTGGCATTTACGGCTTCAGCGGGTAGCCGGTTCCATGAGTTTATAGCCCTCTTGGTGGAAAAAACATCTGTTTTCAGTCCTACTTGAGAGAACATACTCTCCAACACTATATCTGTGATTGTCCTGTTATCAGTGACTTCATACCAAATGGTATGAGGTATTTTGAGCTCTGTAATTACTTCATACACTCAGGAATATTGGAAGATATTCTTGTGCTGCACCCAGATTTTGCCAATGGGGGCTAATAGATCAGCATTAAGTATTTTGTTCTCTCCTAATTCCATGTATGACTGGCCATCCTGTGAGGTGAGGATGTTGGATGAGCTTGTAGCTGGTTTTTGATATACACTGTGTGGTCCTTTATACAGAATAGGGAAGCAGCACATTGCTGTGTATACCTAAACATGTTTAAAAATACATTGTTTGAGAGGAGTCTGCTAGAAACTGTTAGGAGTAATTATAATATAATGTTTCCATGATTCAGTGCTTACCTCTTGTGAAAATTGCTTAGAGTTGATTTGTTTTTTGTATTGAGTCTGGTATTTTCTAAATTGATTCCATGTACAGTATGTCTAACCATCCTGTGAGATGGGAGTATTAGATAAACTTATAGCTAGTTTTTATCTACACTGTGTAATATTCCATATAGAATAGGGTAGTAGTACATTGCTGTGTATACCTAATCTTCTTAATACAAAAAATCAGTAATAAAGATTTTAAATTATAGTTTGTATTATTACAAATTCAGTACTGTATTATCCTTATTAAATCATGTTGACCATGGATCATTAAGATCTCATGTTGATATGTAATAGTCATATTTCTTTTGAACTGCTAATCCATGCTAATCATTCATTAAATTGTGCATTATGTCTCAATTTTTCACTTCCTTGGATATACTGTACAGTACAAAAAGATAAGATAAAAATAAACCAGTAATATTTCTTTCATTATATTTTTCATTTAAATAACTGCATCAATATTTTTACAGCTGACAGGATTTGTTTTACCATACAGGTGCATTATTTGTTAAAAAAAATTTGTTTTTTTGTTACACACAATGGTGCTACATAGCCTTCCCAGCTTGGTGCCTTCTTTTAATACTTACTGATTAAAAAATAAATAATTAATACATTTTATTCAGGAAAAGTACATACAGTTGATTTACAAACATAATGTTGGATTTATAGACAGAGCTAGTACATACAATACCTAAAGCCACTAATACTCATAGCATTTTGGGCAAGGTGTGGGGGAAAAAACACAGACTAAAACTTAATAGTAATCGGGATTAGGTATAAATTGTGTTGAAAGAAGGAATAAAAAATATAAAAGGGGGGTTAACATAGCATAAATCAGCAATTGCACATGTTGGTGAACGGCGTTGTTTAAAAAATAGCAAGACATGGGTTGACATTTAGGAGGTAAGTTAGGTTACATGGAGTTAATTAGGCAGTACTTGGTTTAACTCTTAAACTGGTTGAGAGAGGTACAGCCTTTGACATGATTCGGGAGGTCATTCCACATTCTGGGTCCCTTGATTTGTAGAGCACTTCTAGTTTGGTTACACACAGCCAAACTGAGTAAAAGGAAGAGGTCTTGGACACAATTTGTTCCATGCTAAATGTAGAGGAATCAGCTGAGTATTCCTCAAATAAAATAAGTTGCCTCAGCTTATAAGGTAAATAAAATAAGCATTTCTCAAATAAGTAGCTGCCTCTCTGCTACATAGCCTTCCCGGCATGGTGCCTTCTTTTGATAATTACTTGTTCCACACCCAAATTGTATAACAGGAAGAGGTCTTGGACCCCTACTTCCCTCTCTCTTTTTTAATAGTCTATATAGTCATAATTATGCTTTAAGTATTCAATGAATAAAGTTTTTGACATTTTTACCCTTCTCCTTACCTAACATCATTTGTGCAGCATATTTTTATTTTATGTCTCACCCAGATTTAATTTCAAAATAAAACCAAACTAAATAAATTAGAAATGGGTATGTAAAGCTAAGGTACACCCTTACTACTAGGTGAACAGGGGCATTTGGTGATAGTAAATGATCCCATCAGGCAGGGCTCATCACCTTCTCTCATTTGTTCATGTTCACCAGTGTTTATTTACTTAATAACTACTGGTATAATCTTGCTATTATAAAACTAATTCTACTATCATCAAACACATATTTACTTCAAGTTTCAAGCAGAGAATGCATATATAACTAACACGAAGGACTCCTCTTCACTAGATTCACCAGTTATAATATTTTGGTCATGTTCCAATATCATAAATCGATCCCAGTGTTATGTAGTAGAGAACAAATGACTTATATCCAATTTACGTAAAGCTACGAGTGGTCGAAACCACACTTAAATCCCAGAATGAACTTACGAAGGTTTTTCCACTTAGTGTAGCTACTTGAATACGGACGTAGCCGCCACGAAGGTGCTAAGAAGGAAAACGTTCTTAGCTAAGAGGAAAACCCTTGTAAGTACCTTCGTGAATCCGGGCCCTGGCAATCACCAGGGAAGGCTGTTGACAGGCTAGGCTGCAGTATAACTCTCGAAATTGTCAACCGGTAATCAGCATGTTCATCAATTAGCAACCATTTTTTTTTGCTAAGTAGTGATACAGCCATCAGACACTAGTTCTTGATTCTCATTTATATTAATATTTTAATGTTATCATATTCAGTTATGATATTTTATTTAAATTTAATTATACAATATATAATTATTTTCAAATCAGTATATTAGTATTACATTTTTTAACAATTATTATATTAGTATTTTAATACTCTGTAATAATTATTATATTACTTTTATAATTAGTTTTAATAATTATTATAATTATATATTATTTATTTTTATTGTTAGAGTTATTGTATTCTAAATTGTTATTATTATTCTAGTATTATTTTCCTTCGATTCAAACTTTGCATTTATCTATTTGTTCAATTATATATATACTAAATATTAGTGTTATTATTTTCCAATGTCTCAGTAAGATAATGTGTGTGTTCCAGAGACCCGACACCAGACGACTCCCTGGGCTTCAGGTGGGAGGCTATGTCGGACTCCAGTACCACACACCTCCGTCTCGCTCCCTCTCCTCTCATGGAGAACGACACCAGGGAGGAGGTAAGAATGTCACAGAACACAGTGCTGAAATATAAGGCGGAGGCAAGAATGTCACGGAACACAGTGCTGAAATATAAGGCGGAGGTAAGAATGTCACGGAACACAGTGCTGAAATATAAAGCAGAGCTAAGAATGTCGCAACACAGTGCTGAAATATAGGGCGGAGGTAGGAATGTCACACAATACAATATTACAAGGCTGAGGTAAGAACATTAAGCAACTCAATACTGAAATACAGGGCCCAGGTAAGAATATCAGGCAAAACAATGCTGAAATACAGTGCTGAGGTAAGAATATCAGGCAACAAATACTGAAATACAGGGCTGTGCTAAGAATATGATGCAACACAACACTAAAATACGCGGCTGAGGTACGATTTTCACGCAACACCAGAAAGCCTCAAGGAGGCTTTCATGAGGCTTGGGCCCCCAGGTCTGCCATTACTTACGCTCAGGTGTTGCGTTGCACTAATATTCCCCAACCTTTTTCCCTTCCTCTGTTGTTGTTGTTGTTTAGGACTCAGCTACTCAGAACAAAAGTTAATAGTAGCACACTATAGTGAGCCCGTAGTGGACTTACATCCCTTCCTCTCGTCTGCAACCATTTCATAACCTTAAACCCTAACACCTTCACCATCTGCTCGTCCTCCGCTCCGTTTGGATCTGTGGCCCCACGAGTTCCTCGTGGATCTTCGACCATTGTTTCCAACTTTCCGTCCAACTCTTCAACCTGCTACATAGTGCTCCCCGGCTTCGTGCTCTTCTACCCACCAAGTTAGCACTGCTTTTCTAATTACTTCCTCTTCTCTTTCCTCTGTGCTCTCCTTTACGTTTTGACTTCATCTTTCTTCTTAGTCTTCCTTTCGGTCTTTTGGCCCTCCCTCATACTTATCCGTTCAGGCCGATGTCCATCCTCCTCCCTGTCATCTTCGTGTGTCTGTTCTCGGTCTCACTCTACGCCAAAGACTTTTGAGGCTGTGGGACAGAACATCGTTACTGGCACGCTTGTGTCTCACATGAACAGGAACTGCCTTCGTCTCCCTCTTTCTCCCCAGTGGGTTAAAATTCTTCTGCATTTCCCTTTATTTCGGTACCTGAATCGGCTGATGTGACTATAATATATCCCATGACCTCTGGTACTGTCCCTGATGCAATGATCCCTGCTGTTTCTGTCGTTGTTCACAAGCTTCTCTCAAGCGGCCCGTCCCAGTCCATCCTCCCTCCCCAGACCCCATCGGTTCGCCTATCCTCCTTCTTACCATCCTCTCAACTCTAACATCTTTGCTGGATTTTTCCTTGCCCCTCACCCCTTCCCCCACCAAGACTTCACTAAATTCTTTTTATTTTCCTGTTCTCTGTTCTTTATTATACCTTCTTCATTATACATTCTTCAATTGAATATACGTGATTTCTTTGCAAATGTTTATAAACTCTAACTTCTGAGGTCTTAGTTTCACCCTATTTGTGTCAGTCTCCAGGAGCCAATGCTTGGTGCTCGTCCTGATCACTTTTGCGGTTATTCCTTTCATTCCTCCCCTCCAGCTTTCGCTAAGATCCCTAACTCTACTGCTCTCTTGATCCGGAACCATATTCTCATATTCCCTCTTCTTTTCCAGTCGAACGTTCGCTCCTTTGCCATTCGTATCTTTATAGGTAAATGGTACACCATCTGTTTCATTTATCTCCCCCCGCAAAGACAATTACGTTAATGACTTTACTGAATACGTTAATGGCTTTTCGATATGTAATCAGACGGATTACTTATCACTTGTCCATCAGACAAGCCACTAACAAGGTATTGCACTACACGACAATACAATACACAAATGAGAATCAGTACTTGTCACAAAGACAGAATAATCCAATAAGTAACAATAACAATTACGTGTCACATCGACACAGCACTCAATGACTTACTAAATCTCAGGATCTATGTAGAGAGATAGAAACACAGTATCACACAGACATTAATGATCATTCACCTGCGAAACACTGCACTTGATGTTAACAGCCTATATATCAATGTGTTTATAAATTCACTTGTACACACACACACAACACGTCACCTGTCACTCTCACAGTGACAGGTCAAGGAAGATTAAGAGCTGTCAAGAAGACAGATTAACACATTCCACGATCCCTTTGGACACTCCTACGGAGAACTCGTTGCGAGATACTCTGATAATCAAAGATCAGGCGGTTTTCTCTACCACCAAAATGATTGTGCACAATATTATAACAATAAAATTAATACCCAGGAATTTCGTACTTACATAGTTTCGAACTCTGTCACGTTCATACACACAGCTGGTGTGGTAGATGATGATCGACGTGGCAGGTTGACTGTAGATGTGAGCAAAGGGCACCCAATACCTAAATTCCTGCACAGCCACATCAGGAGACAAACAACACTGAAGGAACAGGTAATGAAACTGAGGATAGGGGTAGACAGATTCACTACAAACGACAAGGAAGTGTGCGAGGAACTCAATAAGAATCTCCAGGAGGTCTTCACACCAGAGCAAGGAGACGTTCCAGAGATAAGAGAAGGAATGGTCAACCAGGCACCACTAGAGAAGCTTGGGATTACCAGTGGGGATGAAAGTTAGCTTTTGCTAGAGTTGGATGTGACTAAGACTAAAGGCCAGGATGGAATATCTCCATATATACTAAAGGAAGGAGCAGAACACCGTGTCGGCCACTCTCCATGGTGTATAACAAAACACTGGTAACAGGTGAACTGCCATATATTTGGAAGACAGCAGATGTAGTTCCGATATAGAAGAAAGGGAATAGAAAGGATGCACTGAACTACAAGCCAGTGTCCCTAACTTCCATACCATGCATGTTGATGGAGAAGATTGTGCGAAAGAAGCTAGTGGAACATCTGGAGCAAAGGAACTTTGTGACACAGTATCAACATGGATTCAGGGATGGCAAGTCCTTCCTCACAGGATTAACTGAATTCTACGATCAGGCAACAAAAATCAGGCAAGAAAGAGAGGGGTGGGCAACCTGCATATTTTTGGATTGGCAGAAAGCCTTTGACACAGTACCACACAAGAGACAAGTGCAAAGCTGGAGATGCAGGCTGGAGTGAAAGGGAAGGTACTCCATTGGATAAGGGAGTACCTAAGTAACAGAAGACAGCGAGTCACTGTGAGGGGTGAGGTCTCAGACTGGCAAGGCATCGCAAGTGGGGTCTCACAGGATTGAGTCCTTGGACCTATACTGTTTCTGATATATGCAAATGTTCTCCCCGGGGGATAGAATCGTTCCTCTCATTGTTTGCTTATGATGCAAAGATTATGAGAAGGATTAAGACCGAGGAAGATAGCATGAGGCTACAAGATGACCTAGACAAACTGAATGAATGGTCCAACAAATGGCTTCTAAAGTTCAACCCGAGTAAATGTAAGGTAATGAAACTAGGCAGTGGAAACAGGAGGCCAGACACAAAATACCGAATGGGAGATGAAGCCCTTCATGAAATGGACAGAGAGAGAGAGAGATCTAGTTGATATCACACCAAACTTATCTCTTGAAGCCTCATAAAAAGAAAAAATCTCGGGTGTGTGCAAGGCTGAGTAACATCAGAACAGCCTTCAGGAACCTTTGCAAGGAATCATTCAGAACCTTGTATACCACATCTGTAAGACCAATCCTGGAGCATGCGGCTCCAGCATGGAACCCGTACCGTGTCAAGCACAAGACAAAGCTGGAAAAAGTTCAGAGGTTTGCCACTAGGCCAGTCCCAGAACTAAGAGGCATGAGTTACGAGGAAAGGCTGTGTGAAATGTACCTCAAGACACTGGAAGACAGAGGAGTAAGGGGAGACTTGACCACTTCCTACAAAATTTTAAGAGGATTTGACAGGGTAGATAAAGATAAACTGTTTAACAAGAGTGGTACACGAACAAGGGGAGCATAGGTGGAAACTAAGTACCCAAATGAGCAACAGAGACGCTAGAAAGAACGTTTTCAGTGTCAGAGTAGTTAACAGGTGGAATATATTAGGCAGTGGTGTGGTGGAGTCTGACTCCATACACAGTTTCAAATGTAGATATGATAAGGCCCAGTAGGCTCACGAATCTGTACACCAGTTGATTGACAGTTGAGAGGCGAGACCAAAGAGCTAGAGCTCGACTCCCACAAGCATACCTAGGTGAGTTCAACTAGGTGAGTACAGTGTACACTGTATTGGAATAAAGTGCACCCTCCAGCTATCAGCCCGTCGATGAATAAATGGAGGTGTTAGGGGTTACAATACGCAGGTGACTCAGTCATAGAGACACGGTCCTCAGAGCCCAGGGCCAGTTGTAACAATCACTCAACAGTCATTGTTTACTTGAATATAATTTAACCTCTCCTTGATTACACAACTAGTATGTCGGAGTACTCTCATTACTGACTATCGTTTTCTGTTCGTTAGAGGCAGACACACTGCTCATCAGACCCCAGTCACGACAACCCGTCCTCTTAAAAATAACGTCACTTTTGGCTCGTATGCGCGCTATGGCCAAATTTGGACGTAATTTGAAATGAAATCGACTCACAAAAGTGACGTTCTGTTCCGTTTTCTATTTGAGTTGTCCGGCGTACGCGCAGAGGTTATAAGAGGACACTTTAAATTAACGTTTTTCATAACATTTTGAAACTTTATGAGAATTTCCTGCCCACCTAACCTATCAGAGGACCCTTATCTTACTGTTGTTGAAAAAAAAAATCCCAAATTTATTTTCATGTTTTTTTTCATTTTCAAATTACGTCCAATTTCGGCCATACGGGCAAACGGCCAAAAGCGACGTTCTTTTTAAGAGGACAGGCTGCTGTATACGCACTCACACACCACGGCAGAGTGAGTTACTCCTTACTGTCCCATATGAACCACCTCACGTACGTTAATGCCCCAAACCTATACACACCTTGGAGATATTCCATACTTGATTGTTCCACAGATGATTGGAGTCACTTTCAAACAGACTCACATCTTCTTCTTGA